AGCCACATATAAGCTCAATCCTGGTAAGTCACCGGGGCCTGACTATACGAGTGCTGTGTTTTACAAGGTATTTTATTGCAAATTATCCGGACTGCTTACAGAAGCTTTTAACAAGTGATATAAAGTAGATAGTCTAGCTTGGTCCTTTAGTAAAGCTCATACTATTTTGCCTAAGACCGAAGAGACAGACAAGTTAAAGCTAGTTTCATCATATCAGCATATTTCGTTAACTGACTGTGGCTACAAAATCTTGATGAAAGTACTTGCGGTTCGACTACAGGGTGTCATCAAAAAGTTCGTTTAATGTCACAAACTTGCGGCAATATTAGACGTTGCATTGTGACCGATATACAGAAACGGCGACACGTTGTCTGGTGTTGCGACGCCACTGAGAGTCGTGTGGCCATTCTGCAGCTCGATCTCGAAAAGGTATTTGACTGTGTCTCTAATGTCCTGTTGCTTGCCATACTGGACCACGTGAATGTTCGTTCGGTAATCATAGGTGCCGTGGCTTTGGGATACCTCAACTGCCTGACACGCTTAATGGTCAATAATTCACTAAGTGCGCCCCTTAACAGTGGGTGTTCCATCCGTCCGGGATGCCCACTTACCCCTTTTTTTTCAGCATCTATATAGAAACAATATTCGTAGAAATAAGTGAAAACAGTAGAGTTCAAGGTTAAAGTTGCAGGCATCAGAAATTAAAATTTAGGCATATGCAGAAGATGTCGCAGTTTTTTGCACAGGTAAAGAAAGTGTGGCAGAGGTTACCATTGTAATGAAGTGTTTGAGTAATGCCACTGGTATTCGGATGAACTGAGGGAAGTGCTTACGTTTTCGGCAGAGAGGGTGGGGATCCAGACCAGAATTTTTTGCCAATATGAAGTGGGGGAGGCACCTGTCAAATATTTAGAGGTACCAGTAGAACACTACAAAGACAATGATAACAATTCGCAAAGACAGGCGAGAGAAATTCAGTTGAAGGCGAGTAGGTCGCAGTGTAATCATCTATCAATGCTCTCGAGAGCTACGGCTTGATATTTGTTCTTTTTCTCGAAACTGTGGTGCGTGATGCAGGTGTTGCATCGTTCACGGGCTGATATACTCAGCCACGTCAGTGCTTGCGACTCATTTTTTGAACTTGCATTAGGCAGGATTGATGTCGGGAAAGGAATCACGTTATTAAGAGTCATACGTTGTTTTAGAAAAGCAAAGAAAAAATCAGGCGTCCCACAATTCAAATCGTGTAACGAGTGCGTCATTAAATGCGGCAACGCATTAGACAAGCCTGTTCTTGTTCAACTATTTTTATGGCACATACCCGTTGTGGGGTATTGACCAAGAATTGAGTGGTCTTATACAATAAGGAGGAGGAGGAATAAATGAGGAAAGACAGGGAGGTTAGTTTATGCAATAAGGTGCTGCTTTAGAATAGTGGAGATTATATAGAGATATTGCAGATAACATAGGAAATTGTGGTGCCATTTAATGCACCTAGTTACATAAATAAAGAAAATAAGTTATTCTTAAATTAGAGCACTACTCTATTTTATACGTATATAGTGTTGTTGACATGTTAAACTAACAAAAATATTATTAGTCAGCTTACAAGTTTCATTACTATAGTCCCTGACACCCACGCAACTCTCGGACTGGAGAACCGAGATATTTAGGCTCCAAAAAACAAAATGACAAGCACAGGTAAATTATTACCAATAGCATGTAAGGGCTTTTCTAAAAGGGTTTTTCGTATTGTACGAACCACTTGCAGGTCAAAAAGAGAAGATATATTGTTTCCATCTCACCAGAAAATGCGTAAATTGGCGAAGGTGCCTGAGCAGACCTTTGTTTGTAGAAATTTAGATTCCGTACCCGACAGCGCAGCCTCGTGGTAGCTACTTCTTTTTTACGAGTTTGGCAAAAGGCTCTTAGCCAGGAATATAATAAATGGCGATATCCGGTAGGGTTTGTCAGAGCTGTGCCACCTAAGATTTCTATGAGAACATGTTTGCGGAATCCAGCAGCAGTCACATAAGCGGAGGTTGGAAAGTATGGTAAAAATGGTCCACTCTATGATGACATAGCTAAGGAATCGACGGTTTCACTTAGAAACAAGCTTTTATTTCGAGGCACCCAAACTGAATGGTCTTTTCTCAAGTGCGCAGGTACCAGTGCACGGAGCACCTTTATTTTTTGAGCTTCACCACCAACTAAAAGTGCTGCACAGAAATATAGAGAATCTACTATTATAACTGATGCGATTATTAGCTGATGTGATTGCCGCATCCAACTTGCTTAATGCGAGCACTACTGCGAGAAATTCAGCCACAAAAACGAGTATGAAGTCGGGTAGTTGAAGGGAGCAAGACAAATCTAAATTCTGGCTAAATATACTAACACCTAACTTTTCTTCACATTGTGATGAGTCTGGTTTAATAACAACGTTTGTTGGGACACTGCACATGTTATCATGTAGTAAACCATCTAAAATAAAATAAGGCAGTAATTTGATGCTATTAGGAAAGAATATTGTCAACTTGAATTGAAGCTTGTTCTTCGGCACCTATTAACTGTGGTACATACCTACTTCAGGCGGAACTCTTCAGCGTCGTCAGCCACTGAATGCATCACAAAATTTGTTACAAGTGTTTAGCGAATACCATTCTTTTTCAAAGATAGCATAGTGAATGCTGGCCTAGTATGCTGAAATTATGATTATTTTGGTGTAGTGGGTACCTTGGATGTGTGCTTTTGGCATGTACCCAAATATAGCTTAGAAAAGGCTCCGAAAGGCCGCTCTTAATGCTTTCGTCTTGACTGTGCTGCACCTTTGGTGCAGGCCTGGCAATTTTTTTCAAATAAACAGCGTCTGTTTCAAAACTGAGTCACAGAAGAATTTTCCAGCACATTCTGAAAGCCTTATCACTGTTTGCCTGGCGCAGTGACAAAATTAGTTTGATCAATTTGTATAGAGGCCTCGTAGAGACTCGCCTAGATTCAATGGTAGTAATCTATCATTCACCAACACCAAGAGCCTTAAAGATGCTCTTTCCTGCCAATCACTCATGCCTTCGTCTTTCCGCGAGTGCTCTTCGCACTAGCCCCAAGGGATGCCTTGTACGTTGGCTTGAACGAGTGGTCGCTGGATGTCCAAAGATCCTACACTTTTTGTATGTATACTTTCACCAGGTGAATAGAAAACAGAATAACCCGTACACACCACTATGAATGATTAGACCAGTTCTATCCTGTTTGACAACCACCCTGCCATAAGACATATCAAGGGCTAGACCCCTTGGTGTCAGGGGTCTAGCCGAAGAAACGGACATGCTGCTCTTCAACACCGTCTGGCTGCTCCCGCTTGAAATGTAGTTTCAGATATCATTTAAAAGTGACAGTAAATATAAATAGGTCAACAAGTTAAACAATAAATATATTCCGTCTTGGCAGTGGCAGGTAATAGACTGCGATAAAGCTTTTGTGAGTTTACCAATCACGTTCCCATGGCACATATCTGTACATATTTTGTAGACATTCAGCAAAAATATTCATGGCCAGAAATTTACTATAGTACCTCAAAAACTTGCACTTCTGTCTACTACGCAGTGGTCAGTCCGTTTTTTTTTTTTGAGGTGCCGGTATTCTGCACCAGAACACTACCACTTTTATAGCAGAAACTCGCGCTATAAAGGTGGCCGTTAAAAACTATAAACAACTAAAATAAAATGTGCTTTAGTTTGTGATAACGTTCAAAGCTATCAAAAACAAAAAAACCTATCTTTGTCTTTGCTTCCTCTGTCCTGTGCATGATCTACATAACTGAAGCACTTTTCGCAGTCTGCTGAGTACGACAGCACCACGAGATCCAAGGAAACGTTTCGCGGTTTAGCTTCCGCATCCACCAGCAAAACCACTGTCAGTACGTCAATAGCGATCCCTACTGTTCGCTTAAAACTTTTTCTAAAACGAAAGCTCGGGGCCTATTAGCAAAGCATGTGAGATAGACATTCAGGTAATTTATAACATGTTATTAAGCTACTACTTACTCATTGGCCGCCAGAAGTAATACTTACAAAGACGCACAGAAGTAACAATTACAAGACTAAAAACAGAAAATACGCGTACTGCACATTCATACACTTTTCTCAAGTGGCGATCCACTACTGTGTGCCAGAAGTAGTGAAGCACCTACAGTGCTTCACATTTTAATTCACTGCGAAGAATTAGCCAAGCAAAGAGGACAACACTTTATATCACCCCACCGCAATGTCCATTGGTAGGGAACCACTTTTCACTTATAAAAAGTTATAATTTTGAAGACAGGTAGGTAATTTTTGTACTACATACCCAAGCCTCTCGCAGCTCAGCCTCTGAAGAGAGGTTTCTACTGCGGTGGCTAATTCTCCATCATGATTTCATTATCACGACTTTTCGTCATTCATTGTCACTACGCACATTTCACATAACTGCGATGATTCTAATACTTTTATGTTTTTACCCGCAGTGGTATGAAAAATTTTAAGGCCCTCATGGAGCCACCTACCATTATCAATGTTAACATCTCTTAGCCATTGACATGGCACTCTTTGGCCATCAAATTGCTCATGTGTAATGAGATGCAACACATCATAAACGATAGATAGATAGATAGATAGATAGATAGATAGATAGATAGATAGATGGATAAATAGATAGATAGATAGATAGATAGATAGATGGATAGATAGATAGATAGATAGATAGATAGATAGATAGATAGATAGATAGATAGATAGATAGATAGATAGATAGATAGATAGATAGATAGATAGATAGATAGATAGATAGATAGATAGATAGATAGATAGATAGATAGATAGATAGATAAAAGGTCTCATGGGAATGTTTGCAATGACATTGGTCTCGAAGGAGCCTGGTGGCTTGTTGACATGCTGGTTTTCGCTAAGCGTACAGAATTCATGGCGACTGTGACGAGAGAAGGCATTCACTACACATCAACCTTTCGAAAAGGCACTCCGTTGTGATTTTATTAAGTGACTGTTACATTCCGACAAGCTTCTGGATCGTAGGTCTTGTACTTTTCTGGGCCGCAAAGCAGGTCGTAGATGAACAAGCACAAGCTGCTGACTTCGTTGATCTTGTCTAATTGAACCCAGACTTCACAACCTGCAATTATGACAGTAATTGCATAAAGAAGAAACATTTTCAAGGCCACAACGTCAAGAATTCACGTTTACATTGCCTACTATTCTATATTTGTGAGTTTTACTTTTATTTAAACTTTAGGTGGGCGGTTATCCAGTTTTTAGCTGTTCGTGAGTACTTTAACAAATGAATAAGTTTCGCTGCGCTGAATGGTGCGTACCACAATCCTGTCACCAGTTTCAAAGAAGCGAGATGTTATTTTAGGTTTCAATATGTCTCACAGCATAGCTATGAGTAGCGGCGTACCTACTTCGCGAGTGCAGGGGCAAGTTCCCTCACTCTAATATATGTATATGTATATATATATACATACATATATGTATATATATATATATATATATATATATATATATATACATGTGTGTGTGTGTGTGTGTGTGTGTGTGTGATATGGTGCAAAACAGCAATGATTTGGTGGTCTCGACGCCGTTTAATCAGTGGAGCCGCCAGACAAATTCTTCGCACGACGAAGATGATTACAGTGATTATGATTATGTGTGGCTATAAATAAATGAAGAAAAATGCAGTGAAGAGTACGCTCACAATCATTTTCCCCTCGCGCGGTACGTCTTCCGAACGGTTTTGCCCAGAAAACTTGAACAATCCTAGCTAGTGCCACGGCAACGATTGCCGCAAGGCATGACAGTGGTGTTACGCGATACTTTACTGGAGATGTTTGCTCGACATCAGCGCAGGGGCCTATGAAACGTGACTTAAAGCCCTCAGACAGGCTGGAACTCGAGCTGATGTTCACAGAAGCACTTCATCTTTAATATTAAGCTCAACGATGCGGCGAACCTCAATCTAGTGAGTCTTACGATCCTGCTCACTTGCCTCGGTATTGAGGCAGACGCTGTGGCGGCAAGCGGCAAGGCGAGAAAGTGGGCTGCCACTTCAAGGCGTGTACGAATGAACGAGGACATAAAAAAAGGGTCGCCGAGAAGATATGTCGGTTGGCGGTCACAGACAAGAAAAAAAAAGTTGCTAGCCCGTGGCTTGCTGCATAGCAGCATTGCACGCGAAGATCACGAATGACAGGTCAGTAGTCCAGTTTGTATGGTCGGCATTGATATACATGGGTATCATATCGGAATGAGTTTGTTGAAAGCGCTCGCCTTCCGTGTTTTTAACACAATAATAATGAGATATAACAGACAGTAATGCCAAGGAATGTACAGTGGAAGTTATTAACATTAATAGAATGTAAATAAGAAGAAAGAAAAGTGGATGAAAAAACTACCAACTGTAAGCAGGAATCGAACCTACGACCTTCGAATTACGCGTTCGATGCTCTAACCACTGAGCTATTACAGCGGCACTCCCTCCATCCACTTTTTTTTTTTGGTTTATCTGTGAATTTAGAAGTAGGAGCGACAGTCAGCGCCATCTATAAGCCAAACAACGAGTGTGAAAACACTCTTATGCGCACGTTTGGCGTCACGTAGCACGTGAACTTATTATGAGCGGGCAGCTGATTAATTGTCCTCCTATACAACCTAAACACACCAAGTCTGCCTTACGAGACCCTCGTTCAATGAAATAAGGGAAAGAAGTGCATACCCAAGGGCTCGCCTTCCGTGTTTTAACACAATAATAATGAGCTATAACAGACAGTAATGCCAAGGAATGTACAGGGGAAGTTATTAACATTAATAGAATGTAAATAAGAAGAAAGGAAAAGTGGATGAAAAAAACTACCAACTGTAAGCAGGAATCGAACCTACGACCTTCGAATTACGCGTTCGATGCTCTAACCACTGAGGCTATTACAGCGGCACTCCCTCCATCCACTTTTTTTGGGGGGGGGGGGTTATCTGTGAATTTAGAAGTAGGAGCGACAGTCAGCGCCATCTATAAGCCAAACAACGAGTGTGAAAACACTCTTATGCGCATGTTTTGCGTCACGTAGCACGTGAACTTATTATGAGCGGGCAGCTGATTAATTGTCCCTCCTATACAACCTAAACACACCAAGTCTGCCAGTACGAGACCCTCGTTCAATGAAATAAGGGAAAGAAGTGCGTACCCAAGGGCTCGCCTTCCGTGTTTTTAACACAATAATAATGAGATATAACAGACAGTAATGCCCAGGAATGTACAGGGGAAGTTATTAACCATTAATAGAATGTAAATAAGAAGAAGAAAAGTGGATGAAAAAACTACCGAACTGTAAGCAGGAATCGAAACCTACGACCTTCGAATTACGCGTTCGATGCTCTAACCACTGAGCTATTACAGCGGCACTCCCTCCATCCACTTTTTTTTTGGGGTTTATCTGTGAATTTAGAAGTAGGAGCGACAGTCAGTGCCATCTATAAGCCAACAACGAGTGTGAAAACACTCTTATGCGCATGTTTGGCGTCACGTAGCACGTGAACTTATTATGAGCGGGCAGCTGATTAATTGTCCCTCCTATACAACCTAAACACACCAAGTCTGCCAGTACGAGACCCTCGTTCAATGAAATAAGGGAAAGAAGTGCATACCCAAGGGCTCGCCTTCCGTGTTTTTAACACAATAATAATGAGATATAACAGACAGTAATGCCAAGGAATGTACAGGGGAAGTTATTAACATTAATAGAATGTAAATAAGAAGAAAGAAAAGTGGATGAAAAAACTACCAACTGTAAGCAGGAATCGAACCTACGACCTTCGAATTACGCGTTCGATGCTCTAACCACTGAGCTATTACAGCGGCACTCCCTTCATCCACTTTTTTTTTGGGGAAGTTATTAACATTAATAGAATGTAAATAAGAAGAAAGAAAAGTGGATGAAAAAACTACCAACTGTAAGCAGGAATCGAACCTACGACCTTCGAATTACGCGTTCGATGCTCTAACCACTGAGCTATTACAGCGGCACTCCTCTCACATCCACCTTTTTTTGGGTTTATCTGTGAATTTAGAAGTAGGAGCGACAGTCAGCGCCATCTATAAGCCAAACAACGAGTGTGAAAACACTCTTATGCGCATGTTTGGCGTCACGTAGCACGTGAACTATTATGAGCGGGCAGCTGATTAATTGTCCCTCCTATAGCAACCTGAACACACCAAGTCTGCCAGTACGAGACCCTCGTTCAATGAAATAAGGGAAAGAAGTGCATACCCAAGGGCTCGCCTTCCGTGTTTTAACACAATAATAATGAGATATAACAGACAGTAATGCCAAGGAATGTACAGGGGAAGTTATTAACATTAATAGAAGTAATAAGAAGAAAGAAAAGTGGATGAAAAACTACCAACTGTAAGCAGGAAATCGAACCTACGACCTTCGAATTACGCTTCGATGCTCTAACCACTGAGCGATTACAGCCGGCACTCCCTCCATCCACCTTTTTTTTTGGGTTTATCTGTGAATTTAGAAGTAGGAGCGACAGTCAGCGCCATCTATAAGCCAAACAACGAGTGTGAAAACACTCTATGAGCATGTTTGGCGTCACGTAGCACGTGAACTTATTATGAGCGGGCAGCTGATTAATTGTCCCTGCTATACAACCTAAACACACCAAGTCTGCCAGTACGAGACCCTCGTTCAATGAAATAAGGGAAAGAAGTGCATACCCAAGGGCTCGCCTTCCGTGTTTTTAACACAATAATAATGAGATATAACAGACAGTAATGCCAAGGAATGTACAGGGGAAGTTATTAACATTAATAGAATGTAAATAAGAAGAAAGAAAAGTGGATGAAAAAACTACCAACTGTAAGCAGGAATCGAACCTACGACCTTCGAATTACGCGTCGATGCTCTAACCACTGAGCTATTACAGCGGCACTCCCTCCATCCCTTTTTTTTGGGGTTTATCTGTGAATTTAGAAGTAGGAGCGACAGTCAGCGCCATCTATAAGCCAAACAACGAGTGTGAAAACACTCTTATGCGCATGTTTGGCGTCACGTAGCACGTGAACTTATTATGAGCGGGCAGCTGATTAATTGTCCCTCCTATACAACCTAAACACACCGAGGGTCTCGTACTGGCAGACTTGGTGTGTTTAGGTTGTATAGGAGGGACAATTAATCAGCTGCCCGCTCATAATAAGTTCACGTGCTACGTGACGCCAAACATGCGCATAAGAGTGTTTTCACACTCGTTGTTTGGCTTATAGATGGCGCTGACTGTCGCTCCTACTTCTAAATTCACAGATAAACCCAAAAAAAAAAGTGGATGGAAGGAGTGCCGCTGTAATAGCTCAGTGGTTAGAGCATCGAACGCGTAATTCGAAGGTCGTAGGTTCGATTCCTGCTTACAGTTGGTAGTTTTTTCATCCACTTTTCTTTCTTCTTATTTACATTCTATTAATGTTAATAACTTCCCCTGTACATTCGTTGGCATTACTGTCTGTTATATCTCATTATTATTGTATTAAAAACACGGAAGGCGAGCCCTTGGGTATGCACTTCTTTCCCTTATTTCATTGAACGAGGGTCTCGTACTGGCAGACTTGGTGTGTTTAGGTTGTATAGGAGGGACAATTAATCAGCTGCCCGCTCATAATAAGTTCACGTGCTACGTGACGCCAAATATGCGCATAAGAGTGTTTTCACACTCGTTGTTTGGCTTATAGATGGCGCTGACTGTCGCTCCTACTTCTAAATTCACAGATAACCCAAAAAAAAAGTGGATGGAGGGAGTGCCGCTGTAATAGCTCAGTGGTTAGAGCATCGAACGCGTAATTCGAAGGTCGTAGGTTCGATTCCTGCTTACAGTTGGTAGTTTTTTCATCCACTTTTCTTTCTTCTTATTTACATTCTATTAATGGTAATAACTTCCCCTGTACATTCGTTGGCATTACTGTCTGTTATATCTCATTATTATTGTGTTAAAAACACGGAAGGCGAGCCCTTGGGTATGCACTTCTTTCCCTTATTTCATTGAACGAGGGTCTCGTACTGGCAGACTTGGTGTGTTTAGGTTGTATAGGAGGGACAATTAATCAGCTGCCCGCTCATAATAAGT